CTCTGATTGAGTTCGACACCCCTAATTTACAGGGTGGACTTTATAATCATGTATACCCAGGAGCAAATTTCATAACTTTGGATACATTAAATTAAATCTTAGGTTCCTTAATAGTAAAAAGTTAGCACCAGAATTTTATAAAGAATTAAATAATGTATGTCAAGTACTTAGCACTGTGCCAAACACATTTAGAAAATGGTGTGCTGCAAATCTTCACTTCTACATAATTACTTTGGTAGATTTTGATGCTTTGATATGTATACAGTTTAGGGAGCCCAGGAAAAGGGATTTTATTCATAATTCGTGTCCAGTATTTAGCAATCCATGATATAGCTAATAATTCATATATCTGTTTAAAAAATGGAAAAATGCTTTGAATTTTAAAAGTGATTAATTCATTTCTGAGACAGATTAAATCCCTTGCTATAAGAAATGTTGAGGAATATGAGCATATTGGATAATCAAATATTGTGGCTAAAGAAGTTATTACATTTGAGTCATAAATAGTTGCAACTTTCAAATCTTTCATTCTTTTAAGTAGCCTTTTAGTTATAAAGTACTATTGGGTCTAGTAATACTTAATGTCGTTTTTTAACATTCGTTTAAAATCTTGTTTGGCGTTGACTTGTATTGACATAACCTTCAAACACGTGGTATCTACAGAACGTGTGAAGTGCAATTAACAAGTTTTGCTTAAAAAAGTTTGTGTTTGGTTTGGTTTTAGCAAAACTAGGGCTAAGAAGATGGCGGATGAAGAGCATATTCGGCACTGCATGCTTTACGAGTTCCAATTATGAAGAAAAGCAAGTGAGGCTGCAAAAAACATCTGTAGTGCTCTTGGTCAAGATGCAGTTAGCGCCAGAAAATGCCAGCGTTGGTTTGAGAAATTTCGTGAGGGAAATTTTTCGTTAGATGACAAGAGTGGTCGAGGCCGTGTGTCCAATTTTGATCAAGAAGCTCTTCAAGCTCTTTTGGTGCAAAATCCTCAAAGTACCCAACAAGAGCTTGCAACAACTTTAAATTGTTCACAAAAAACAATTTCCAATCAATTGCGTGCACTTGGCAAAGTCCAAAAGTTTGGAAAATGGGTTCCTCATGAGTTGACCGACAACAACCGTAATCAAAGAGTCACAATTTGCAGTTCGCTCCTCTCTCATCAAAACTGTTTGTCGTTTTTAGAGCAAATTGTTACCGGAGATGAAAAATGGGTGCTGTATGTTAATTTGAAAAGGCGGCCTCAGTGGTTGGACAAAAATGAGGCTTTGCAGCCCACGCCAAAACCTGACTTGCATGCGAAAAAAGTGATGTTGTGTGTTTGGTGGAATTTTAAAGTTATTCTTCATTATGAACTTTTACCATCTAACCAAACCATTACAAGTGCAGTGTATAGTGCCCAATTGGAAAGGTTAGCCCAAGCTTTAAGAGAAAAAGAACGATAACGCACTACGCATACTGCAAGAATCACTGCTGAAAAACTGCGCCAGTTGGAATGGGAAGTTCTCCCTCAACCTGCATATTCTCCTGATATTGCCCCTTCTGATTACCATTTGTTTTGTTCTTTGCAAAACTTTCTTCTTGGAAAAAAATTTAATAATGAAGAATGCCTCAAAAATGCATTGACCGAATTTTTCGCATCAAAATCACAAGAATTTTACAACAGAGGGATTAAAATGCTTCCTGAGCATTGGGCACAAGTAGGAGAAAACAACGGCAACTATATTGTTGATTAAATTTTGTTGTATTGTTTAAATAAATTTGATTTAAAAAAGTATTAGAAAATGACATTAATTATTACTAGACCTAATACTATCTACTTTGGGCAAAACAGTTTGGAAATTTTAATGCTTTTATAAAATCCAGTTTAAATCAGAGATAAACATTATCATTCTGTATTTAACAATTGCTATAATGAAGGAATGTACAAAATACACCTGTTACTTAGATAGCTGAATAACCTACTTCTTGAGAGGAAAGGCCCAATGGCTTTTCAACTTGGAAGAATGAGTGTAAGGTTCCCAGGCAGAGGAGTGGAGAAAGAAGTCATGAAGACATAAGAACATGGCACATTGAGAAACTATTTCTTGATTGGGGTAGCTGCAGTATGAATTGGAAAGGAAAATTTAAGAGTAGTGATAACAAAACTCTGAACAAAAACTAGTTCATGAAGGCCCTTATGCCATGAAAAGTAGACTTTTATTCAGTAGGATGTAACCAGTTAAACTACATATTCATATTTCCATGCTCATTACAATATTGCAAAAGAAGAAAGACTAGAGGCTTTGGTAATAGCACATTCCATGAAGATGAGGGTTTAAATTATAGTTGAGATGGCTGAGATATATTTTTGTAAAATAAATCAATATAATTTTGTGATTCATCTGCTATGATTAGGGCAAGGAAAGAAATGAGTTCCAAATATCTGGCTCAGGCAATTTGGAGGATGAAGATAACAGACTGGATAGACTGAGCCTTTTGAAAATGTTTATTTAAATTAATGGTTTAATTAAATAGCCTGGTTTAAATAATTTATCAATATCCAGCATTAACTCTCAGAGAGCATTTCCAGAATTTCTGTATTACAGTTTATAGGTAGTATGGTTGGAAAAACAGGTTATTGGGGGACTAATCTTTGTAGTTACATCAGCAAGATAATGATAAAAAATCAAGTTGTCTGCTGGGGCTAATAAATATAGGGTTATAGTCCTATTTCCATTATGCCACCCTATGGAATAAGGCCAGAATAATAATTATCTTCATTTGACTGATTTTTACTTAATTTCTTATAATTTTATCATATTTATACCTTGTATGAAGAATATTTATGATTATTCCACATATTCAGTACTCTACAATGTGAATTTAAGCTTTATACATTTCTTTTATATTTTTAAATGTATTATTCAATACAGAGCTAGTATGTTATAAAAAAAATAATACTGAAAAAGTCTCCCGGTATAAAGATTTCAAAGAATCATATTTCAAATCTCAATCTCTTAAAGCCTCTTTTTCCTTCTGTAAACTGGGGAAAGAGTGTAAAATTACTGTGAAAAATAAGTAAAAGTATCAAATACTGGATACATAGATGTTTAATAATTTATTTTGGATGAATTGCATATAAAATTCATATCTAAACAAAACTTCATACATATATGAATTATACACATAAATTATATACATACATAAACCACATATATATGCTCAAATACATCCTATATAACAAAAGGGCAATATGCAAATCAACTGAACAGCAGTACAACTGGCTGCTATGACATGACCACCAGGGGACAGATGCTTAATGCAGGAGCTGCTCCCTGGTGGTCAGCAGGCTCCCATAGGGGGAGCACTGCCCAGCCACAAGCTGGGCTGATGGCTGGCAAAGGCAGTGGTGGTGGTGGAAGCTTCTACCGCTTCTGCTGTAGAGCTAAGGATGTCCAACTCGCTCAAGCCATTAGTTGGTTACCCCCTGAGGGCTCCCAGACTGCTAAAGGGTGCAGGCTAGGCTGAGGGACCCTGACACCCCCTCACCCCCCAATGTCGTGCACTGGGCCTCTAGTACATATACTGTATAATTTATGTATATAATTTTGTTTTATGAATAGATTTGGGAACATTAAGTTATTTTTAATCTTAATTTGGGGAAAGGGAGGCTTAAACAGGACTATTTCTTCCCATTGACTTTTCTTCAAAATAACTAACTTTTAGAAACAAAATATCCAATAACTACTAGCCCTGAAGCACTTCAAAAGGTGGCTTCACTATCAGTAAAACAGACTGTTAAGTAGCATCTTCGCACTTAGCTACTAGACAACCAAGAATTGGAATGTGTACTTTCCAAGATTCTAAAACATATTCTAGTTATTTTCTTTGACTCCTTAGATTTCATTTTGTTCACCTATAAAGTAAAAAAGTTTACCCAGCTACAGAGAAGAGCTCATCAGAATGGATTTTTGAATTAGAACTTTAGGGAGAGTTTCCATACATCTGTATTTTTAATTCCCTAAGTTCCTCTCATAACCAACCAGGCTTGGGACCAACTAGCCTAAACAATTACTATAACCTCTCCCCTTGCTCCTTTCAAACGTAAGACTGGTATTTGGAAATATATGCTCATTCTATGACCTATGGCCATTAATCACTTTTGTCTATTGTTTTTCTTCATTAATCCTTATGCACTGGCTTAATAGGTGTGCTAATTAAAAGCTTTAGCCTGGCCAGTGAGCGTCAACCTATGAACCAGGAGATACATGGTTCCATTTTCAGGTTGTGGCCTCGATCCCAAGTAGGAGGTGCGCAGGAAACAACTAATCAATGATTCTCTCTCATCTTTGATATTTCCTTCTCTCCCTTTTCCTTCCTCTCTGAAATCAATAAAAATACATTTAAAAATTTCTACTAGTAAAATAAAAATAAAAAATATGCTTTATGGTATAACAAATTGTTTTCATGAAATATTACGTGCCAAATAATGCATTTAAGCAAAATACTTCAAAACATGCTGCACAAAGAACTTATTGATTATATTTATTTAATAACAAAATGTCTAATTAAGAAAATGTCTTTAAGAACTTACAATCAAATTTTCAAAACCCTAAATAAAAATATTAAATAAATTACTTTATAGTAGAGGATATTATAAACTTATTTATGTAATACAGCAGGCAGACTTTGTGCTAGAAACAGTGGATGGGATCTAAATTAAAGAAAAAATTCAAAGAATGGGTATTCATAAATTTCTGGTTAATAGAGCCTTAATATTGTTAAGGAGCAGGTGATATTTAAGCATCAAATTTTATTTATGAAAATAAATACTTTCTCAAACGTCAGAAGTATAGTTCTCTGCTTTAGAAAATATTTTTTTCCCTTTTATAAATCAGAATCTCACTATTCATTTATCAAATATATAAATAGTATCTGGTTAATTTCTTAAACTTAACTACCAATGTCACCCTTCAGATGCTGATTCTGTTACATTTCCTTGTTTTTCTGCCAATGAAACAAGGGTCTTAGAGATATTTTATTTATGAATAATTCACCAAGTATTTATTGAAAGCCTACTATATTTTCAGGTTTAGAAAGAGCAAGACAAACACAAGGCCTGCTCCAGAGAGCTCACCATCTATTGTAAAATACAGCAAATTGAGCACTGATTCTGAATCACTATGAGCCTTCATTTCATTTTTAAAGATTTGAATAGTTATTGATTTCTGCTGTAAGAGAAAATAAAAACATTCCTTAGGTATATCATTCTTTAGATTCTCATAAAGGGAATTTTCAAATCTGTATGTTGAAAAGGCCTATAATTTGCTTTTTCAATTGTCTTCTGCTACTTATGACATTCTCTATTATCCCCTTCTGTTCTCCCAACACAACACAGCCTCTGCACTTTTGCCTATCCAGCTGGCTTTTGTGACTACACTTTTCGACAGCTTTCTGTTCCCCTTCACTGTTGTTTTTTGCTACCTGGGCTTAGCCATCTTCCCTTTCTTGGCTTCTTATTCACTTGATTAATCTTAACATTTCCTTAAATGTAGGACCTTCAGTGAGTATAATTAATCATTATTTCCACTAGCATTTTCTTGATCTTTGTTGTGAATTTCAGATCTTCTTTACAATAGGCTCTTGCTCAATGTAGTTTCCAAATATCCCCAGAAAGACAATGTTTCTTGAAAATTCCTGTTTTAAAGTCTGTATTAAAAGAGACTGATAAAGGAATGTGTTACTCAGCAAAGGACGCTTCTACTTTATTTTCAATTCTTAACAAGAATTGGATTCTGCAAGATCATAGTTAAAACCCTTTGGTGAGGGTTATCAATCTACTCATAAAGCCTAGGTAAAAAAAAAATAAAAAAAAAAAATCAAATTTTGAAATTTTGACTCTGATATTAAATTAAAAATTATATAAACACATGAAGTTTGAAACTTAAAAAAATACCTACATGTAAAAAGTTAAGACATATTGGGTCGGCAACTAAGTAATTGCGGATTTTTAAAAGAAAATCAAAGACAATTTTTTTATGGAACTAAATAACTTTATTCTTTAATGTATTGCCCATTTTGATCAATGACCTTTTGCCATCTTTCAGGCAGCATCATAATCCCACGTTCAAAAAACTTCTGGTTTTTATTAGCAAAAAACTGAATCAGGTACGATTTGACATCATCATCATTATTGAAATTTTTACCATTCAAGGAGTTTTGTAAAGATCGAAACAAAAAGTAATCAGATGGTGCAAGGTCAGGACTATATGGTGGATGTGGCAAAACATCCCAACCAAGCTCCATTAATTTTTGCCGAGTGACCAAAGATGTGTGTGGCCTTGCATTGTCATGATGGAATACAACACCTTTTCGATTTGTCAATTCGGGCCACTTTTCTTTAACTGCATTGTTTAATTTCATTAGTTGTTCAATGTAGACATCAGAATTGATCCTTCGGTTGGGTGGTAAGAGTTCAAAGTAGACAATTCCTTTGTAATCCCACCAAACTGATAACAAAACCTTCTTTTGATGAATATCAGCTTTTGATGTTGTTTGAGTTGGTTCACCTGGCCTGCTCCACGATCTTTTCCGCTTGATATTGTTGTAAACAACCCATTTTTCATCGCCAGTTATCAGTCGTTTTAAAAATGGATCATTTTCATTATGTTTCTTTAGCAAATCGCAGCTGCTAATGCGTTGCGTAAACTGTGATTCTTTCAGTTCGTGAGGAACCCATGTATCGAGTTTTTGAACATAGCCAAGTTGTTTTAAGTGATTTTCAATGCATGTATGTGATACATGAAGCTTCTCTGCAATCTCACGTGTTGTACTGTGACAGTCCGAATTGATTATTGCTTTGATTAGGGCGTCATCAACTTCAACTGGACGACCAGAGCGTTTTTCATCTTTGAGTGAAAAATCACCAGAACGAAATTTGGCAAACCAATTTTGACACTGCCGCTCTTTTAAGGCTTCGTCACCATAAACAGCACATAACTTTTTATGAGCTTGGGATACGTTTTTCCCTTTGTGGAAATAAAAAAGCAAAATATGACAAAAATGTTCCTTTTGATTTTCCATTTTTCAACGAACGCCAAACAAAAACTACAAAACAGATCAAAAAACTTTTTTTACTGATTAACAGCTGAATAGCCAACTATCAAATAACAAAATGTGTTTTACATTTGTACTACGTCTGCAAACCTAAAAATTCAACTGAAGCCATATATGTGTGAAACCCGCAATTACTTAGCTGCCAACCCAATATAAGTATTCATTGATATGTCTATATCATTTATTATAAATAGTATATGATTAAGAATTCAACTATTTTAAAAAAAAATAGATATTGATTTTTTACAGAGAGGAAGAGGGAGGGATAGTTAGAAACATTGATCAGCTGCTTTCTGCACACTTCCCACTGGGGATGTGCCCGTAACCAAGGTACATGCCCTTGACCAGAATTGAACCTGGGACCTTTCAGTCCGCAGGCAACACTCTATTAACTGAGCCAAACTGGTTAGGGCTCAACTATTTTTGAGTCTACAAATCAGATCCTTGGAGTAACCTGCCTTCTATAATCCATAAGCCTTTTAAAATTTTACCTTAAAGACAAATAAAAAGATTCAATAAGTTTAATCTTCCAAATGTTCTCAGAAAGAATTATCCTCCAGTAATAAAACACCAGCAGTATGTGCTGTGAGGTAGCAATGAAAGACTAAGATCTGTAAAAATGATACCCTCAATGCATAAGCATTCTTTCTTCATATGAAGAGTCAGAACAACAAGAAGGGACAGTGAGTTACCTTTCATTATTTCATCAATTATTGATGTTTTCATAGTATTTTAAATGCCTGATGTCAGTTTTACAACAGCAATACCCAATATTTATTTTGAAAGGTAATTCTATCTTTATGTAGAGGATATTAACAACTTCCAACACGATCTCTAGGAATAATTCGCAGTTCTGAACCATGCTTTAGGAAAACATTTCCTACAAACAAACAAAACATAAAGTTAGGTGTTTAAAAAACAGGTTATCATAACATTCCACTAATTATTATATACAATTAACAAAGCATTGTAAAAAAACAAACAAAAAATAATAAAGCACTGTAAAGTAAGTAGGTACAAAAACACAAGCATAATCAGAAACTAATTTCATGCTTTCAAAGCCTTGTTGCTATTCCACTCACATCTTTAGGACCTAACCATATGTCTGAAAATTTTAAATATGTACATTAGCCACAAAAATGCTAACTAAACCAAAACCGGTTTGGCTCAGTGGATAGAGCGTCGGTCTGCGGACTGAAAGGTCCCGGGTTCGATTCCAGTCAAGGGCATGTATCTTGGTTGCAGGCACATCCCCAGTAGAGGGTGTGCAAGTGGCAGCTGATTGATGATCCTCTCTCATATATGTTTCTAGCTCTCTATCTCTCTCTCTTCCTCTCTGTAAAAAATCAATAAAAATATATTAAAAAAAAAGGCTAACTTATACACTAAGCAAAGCACAATGTAAATCAATTTAACCATCAATACTTGCTTTAGTACACAATAAGGACAAAAAAGGATGAATTTAAATTACCACAAGTGACATAAGTTTAGAAACCCTGACCTATTTTGGTTCAATTAAATGATGAGATTTACTATGTGTCCCATAAAGTACACCTTTCATCTTTTAAAGGAATACAACTGATAACATATTACAATAAGCAATAATTCATATTAACATAAATTGAACATTTCTAGAGTAAGAAAACAAAACCTTTAAACCTAAATTTAAAGGCATTTACAATGTTATAAAAAGCCTCATGATTTTCAATGAATAACCTTTATAATTTAATAAAATTTATTATCTACCTACAACTGATTTAAATTTTATAAATTACAATTTTAAATCCTTCTTCATTTTTACATGACCAAATTTCAGTCCCAAGATCTATGAGAACAATGTAATTTTGTTATAAGACAGAAGTACTTTAGAATATAATTTAAATAAAAATACTACTCAAGATTGAGGTTTATTATATTAAAGCATGCTTAACTTCAAAAGACTATAATTAAATTACATAAGCCAAAAAGAAGGGTACATTTAAAAAATATATATATACAGCTGCCTGTTAAAAGTTGAAGATGACCCTGCTTGCCCTAACCAGTTTGGCCCAGAGTAGAGAGCATTGATGTGTGGACTGAAGGGTACCAGGTTCGATTACGGTTAAGGACTCATAACCTGGTGGGAGACATGCAGGAGGCAGCTATTCAATGATGCTCTCATCATTGATGTTTCTCTCTCCCTCTCCCTTTCTCTCTAAAATCAATCAATAATAATAATAATAATAATAATAATCCTTTCTAATAAGAGAGTAATAAGCAAATTAACCATTCAGCTACACTTACAAGCCACACCCACCAGCCAATCAGAAGTATGCAAATTAACCCAACCAAGATGGCTGCGAACAGGAAGCTTGGGTTGCCCCTGATGATGGAGGGAGCCAAGCTTTCCACACACCCTGGCCAGCCCAGGCCTCCAATCAAGGCTACAAAGTTTCAATTATAGAAGATTAAGAAATCCCAACAAAAATGGCTTCAGCCACAGAGCAAGCAGGAGTCTTAGCTCCACTAAAGGCTACAAAGTTTCAACTATGGGAGATAAATAAATCCCAGATACCAGGGCCTCCACTTGGGTCCCAGGGGGACATGGCTGGCCTGAAAACCACCACAGGCCCCTCGCTCAGGCCGCCCCATGCCCAAGGGAACTTCTACCCCATCTGGGACACCTTTCAGGGCAAACCAACTGGCCCCCACCCATACACCAGGCTAATAAGAGTAACATGCAGATTGATCATCACTCCAACATACAAGATGGCCAGCAGGGGAGGAAAGTTGAAAGGGACCAGGCCTGCCAGGGAGGGCAGTTGGGGGCAATCAAGCTTGCAGGGGAGGTCAGTTAGGGGTGACTAGGTTGGCAGAGGAGGGAAGTTGGGGGTAAACAGGCTGGCCAGGGGAGTAGTTAGACATCAATCAGGCTGGCATGGAGTGGTTCGGGAGTGATCAGGCTGGCAAGCAGAAGTGGTTAGGGGCAATCAGGAAGGCAGGCAGGTGAGTAGTTGGGAGGCAGCAGTCCTGGATTGTGAGAGGGATGACCAACTGCCCGTTTAGACCTGATTCTGGTGGAATTGGGTCTAAATGGGCAGTTGAATGTCACTTGAGGAGTTGGTCCCAGATTGGAGAGGGTGCAGGCTGGACTGAGGGACACATACCCCATGCACAAATATCGTGCATCAGGCCTCTAGTAATAGTAATAAAGATGACCCTACTTTCTTGTTAGGACACCAATATATAGTACTGCATAATGTTAAGTTTGAACCTCTGAGTATGGACTAAGCCCTCTGAAATTTAAATGACCATACATCTTTAAAATAGCACTTACTGAATGCTCACTATGGATAAGGCAATCTATTAAGCACTTTACATGTACTACTAACTCACAATACCTTATGAGGTAGGTCAAAACCATTATTCCAATAAGAGTACAATCTTACCTTTAGAATTTTTGTTATGAGTGTTAATATCTTTAATGCTTATTAGTCAGGGTTTCCCTTAGTCAAAGGCATAACTAATTCACATAATGAAACAAATTATTATTTAGATCCATAGGTGAAGACTGGCATATAATCCCTAAAAGAACATCTATGATCTTGGTAAAATCCTATCCAGTCCAATCAACTGACATATATAGCTCCACTACTTCTCCATGAATTTTAGATACTTACCAGCAGTCTGTGCAGGATTTATTCCTATTCCATCTAGAAAATAAATGATAAAATCATCTAAATTATTTCTAAAGCTAAAATGGTTCAACAGTAATAAGAGATTGGCCAAAATACTGCTGCAGTGTATATAGGCAAAAGCCAAAACAATAAAAAATAAATTACAGTCCTGACCAGGAATAAAACAGTGACCTCCTGGTTCATAGGTTGAAGCTCAACCACTGAGCCACACCTGCTGGGCAAGCCAAACAATTTAAATCCAAAAACATGAATGACAATCTTTCGGATAAATTATCTATTGAAATCTATTACTATTGTGCATTCACACACAGTGCTAGATTAAACAAGAGTATCTGTCAATGAAATGATCCTGGTAAGGTCAAAATACATATATATGTTTTTTTATTGTGTTATGCTATACAAAGTGAAAAATACACCTCAGGTACATCATTAATCACTTAGTTATTGCTATGAGGCTTACAAATCTTATGGCCACAAGAGCCCATAAACTCATCTACCCTGTTTCCCCAAAAATAAGACAGTGTCTTATATTAATTTTTTCTCCCAAAGTTGCACTAGGTCTTATTTTCAGGGGATGTCTTATCTTTCCATGCGTTATGTCTTATTTTCGGAGGATGTCTTATTTTCGGGGAAACACAGTAATTCAAGTTCTACTGACACGTGATAAAAGTTTACAAAGCACCTATGAATCTAAAACTTTGTAGATATTAGGCTAGCTTTGTTCTAACTAGAGTATACATTCTGTATACTGTCACTTCAATGTGGCAGTATACAAAATGTTTTAGAATGAGAAATTTTGACATCTCTAAACTAAATCACATTACTGTCCATTAAACCCATTTTCACAGTCTATCCTAATGGCACAGAAAACTACTCACTAGCACCTTCAAATATTATGGTGTATTCCTGAAAATTAGTTAAGCCCTCACTGCCATCTTTACTCCTCATCTTATATCAGTATTTTCTCATAGGACTAGTTTAATTAGTAGTAGTGTTTTAAGATATTCAGAATTTAAGTTATATATCTACTTGGACAAAATCCTCATAATTGCAAGCATATAAGAAATAAATTTCATCAGGAAAGCAACTACAAGATACAGCAATGGTACATTCCTGCTTAACTACCTAAGTTTTAAAAGCATCCTAATATATAAAAATCCTGGGTTGTAACGACCAGTAATGACTGAGGCTCAACCAACTCTAAGTCCTGAAGTCAGGCACAGTGCCCCAACACTGACTGCTGAGAGGGCTGCAAATTAAGGCCAGAGAGAGGCCTAAAGAGAGAAGCAGGGACTGATCCATTGCCTCTGAGGCAGCTTTTGATCAGCACTTGCCTCTCTTTCTAAGTCTGGCCAGCAGCTGAACCTCCATTTCTCTTCAAGCCTCCATTGGGGCTACTGATCAGCCCCACCTTTCTGATCAGGCCCCTTTGATTGGCCCAGAGATGCTGACTAGCATAGGAACCAACCAATCAGAAAAATGTGGGTACTGTTAAGAACCAATGGCTGCTTAGGAGGTGGAGCTTTTGATGCTGACTGGCATAGAAACTGAACTATCAGAACCAAATTGGCCAGCAGAGGAGGGCAGTTGGGGGGAGACCAAGCTGGCAGGGGTGGGCCATTGGGAGCAAGATCAGGCCGGCAGGGAAGGGCAGTTGGGGTCAACCAGGCTGGCAGGGGAGGACAGTTAGGGGCAATCAGGCAGGCAGACAGAGGCAGTTAGGGGCAAGCAGGCTGGCAGGGAAGGGCAGTTAGAAGATATTGAGCAGGCAGACAGGTGAGCAGTAAGGAGCCAGCTGTCCCAGATTGTGAGAGGGATGTCCAATTGCTGGTTTAGATTGGCCCTAAACTGGCAGTTGGAAATCCCCCAAGGGGTCCCCAATTGGAGAGGGTGCAGACTGGGCTAAGGGATTGCCCCCCCTCCCTGCCTCCGTGCACGAGTTTTGTGCACTGGGCCTCTAGTTTATCAATAAGCTTATTTTGAGAAAAAAACAAAACAAAACAAAACAAAAACACCTTGGTAAATAAAGTTATTTTCAGTAATAATCTGGCAAGAAGTGACCAGGATACAAGATATTACAAAATGCTATTCTATATCAAAACGCATAAAGAATCTGAAAAGAGCTAGCTATGAATAATAACCTTGATTTAGTATTTATAATTATGTATTACATTTATGTTGATATCAAATTTGGGATTTCTGCATTCAAGTTAAATGAATTAATTTGATTTTTAAAAAATAATTTCTATAGTTGTAAGGTAATAAATAATTTTTAAATGAATTCTTACCATTGGTAATAATTGCACTTGTGGCTGCAGAAACTTTAAACTAAGGGGGAGAAAAAGAAAACGATTTATATACACACACATACTCTGTAAAAGATGGTTAGTTGAACAAGAATAGTGTACAGATAATTCTAAAATGTGACTTTTTTTTCAGGATTAAGTCACATCATAAAATAAAGGGCTACTGTAATTTGTTTAAAACATTATTGCCCTCTAAATACTACATTTCATTCTATTTAGAATACCATGAATCTTATTTTACTCACTGCAAAAACAAGACAAAAATTCATTGTCAATAAATCTATGACTTGCAGAAACTGGTTTGGCTCAATAGATAGAGCGTCGGCTTGGGGACTGAAGGGTCCCGGGTTCGATTCCGGTCAAGGGCATGTACCTTGGTTGCGGGCACATCTCCAGTAGGGGGTGTGCAAGAGGCAGCTGATCGATGACTCTCTCTCGTCGATGTTTCTAACTCGCTATGTCTCTCCCTTCCTCTCTGTACAAAATTAATAAAATATATTTTTAAAAAAAATCTATGACTCAATCAATGTTTACTCTTTCAGACTTACACATGTTGCTTTCTTTCATAAGCAAAAATAAAAGCAAAAGAATTGCTTATAATATTCCTAAAATTTCTTTGTAGAAGTAGTAAGTTCAAGTAAACGCTCTATTGTGTTTAATGGGAGGACAGCCGAGGCTTATTGTCCATCTTCAAATTCTCCTGTTATGTTTTGCTGACTTAAATGTCACACAATGGCAACAATCTAATTATACCACCAGGAAATAATAACTAAATTCAAGTACTGCAGGTGATATCAAGATAATTATGTGATTACCACATGGCTAACAGTGATAGTAAGACTCCACTGATCTAAATCAATGAAATGTGGTTAAGAAACGTGTAGCCAAAGTTAGAATTCTTCTCAATGCTCTAAAGACCAGCACTTGTCTTCATAATTCATTAATTTTTCCAAGTATTTACTATGCCCTTCTTTGCTATGGACAAGTTTTGTAGATATTAGAGTTGAATTTATTGTAACCAAGTAAGTATGGAAAACACTACTTTATATTGATATTATTTTCAAAATTTTCGAGTGTGCTGCTAATACTTTAACACCAAGTTAAAATATACTTTATCTCCAAGAAGAAAATAGTGAATGAAGTATTTCCCATTCTTTTTGGCCACTGATCCACTTTTCATGGAATTGGTTTCTTTTTCTTTCTGGTGGTTCTAGTGCTTTAGGAACAATAATATGGGAAACACTGTTTTAGGTATTTATAATAGTCACATATGCATAATTGAGGAAAACAACAAAAAGTTTACTTTAACTTACAAAAGAATTCCATTTTAACCTGTTAACCGAGTGGGACGTATAAATACGTCAAATATTAACAGTATTGGGTACAGGTAGGACATATGAATACGTCCTTGAAATATATGTTGCACCCTGAAATGGGCGGGACGTATATTTCCGAACAACAAAGGTATTAGTCATCCATACATGTCTTGACATGAATTTAAGACATGGAGGGAATCAGTATAATTTCGCTATTGAGAGTGGTGGACGTGTTCTGGGTGAGCAGTGACGGGTACGTACTTACACTTACCTACCTATTTTCGTATTATATATTATTTACTTATATTTTTTATATCTCCAACCTTTATATAATAGAAAAACATATAAAATTGATCCAATCATCAATAATTTGTCAAAAAAGTTTAAAAGTTTTTAAGTATGTGAATGAGAAATATGCGTAGATAAATATCTTATTATGGAAAGGGAATTTATCTTGGAAACAATATATATCTACAAAAAGAGCTAGATTTGGAATGAAGTTGTTTATTTTGAGTGAAAGCCAATCTGGATACGTACAAAATATAACTTTATACACAGGCAATGACACAAATTATGATTCGAACTACCCACAAGAAAAACAATCAACAAGAATTATTTTGGAGTTAACACATGACTTACTGAATAAAGGGTATAGGATTTACTTAGATAATTTCTATACGTCAATTCATTTGGCTGAACTCTTGTGTCAAAACAATACAGACATTGTTGGAACAATGAGAATAAACAGAGTCAGAATCCCCAGTGAAATAAAAACAAAAAAATTACAGAAAAATGAACATATAGTAAGAATCAAAGACAAACTATGGTTTTAAAATGGAAGGATAAAAAAGACGTATTGATACTCAGTTCTATTCGTAATGATGAAAAGACAATGATTGAAAAGAGACGAAGAAGGCAAGAAAAACTGAATGTTGTCCTGGATTATAACAAGAAAATGGGCGGCGTAGATTTGGGAGATGAAGTTATGGTGGCCTACACGGCTGCCCGGAATAGGGTAAAAAAATTTTATAAAAATTTTTTTCTACGATTAATTGATGTGCTGCTTCAATGCATATATTATATACAAAACAAGATAAAGGTCATTTGGATCGATTACACTTTTTGATAGAGTGTATAGAGAAATTGGTAGATAACAACATAGTGAAAACCCACCCAAAGACATCAACAAGCAGCTCTACATCTAAACCATTACGCTTAGTTGAAAGGCATTTTCCAGAACAAATGAAAAGCGATATAGGAAAAACTAAATCCAGGAAATGCCATTTGCTACAAAAAAGGTGTTAGGAACGAATCTATATATTGGCGTCGGATTGTAAGGTAGCACTATGTATCAACAATTGTTTTAAAATATATCACACAGAAGTTGAGTTTTGAATTTTTACATCTATATTTCAATTTTTTAAACTCAATATTTCTATTTTATTTGTGTGCTTTTGTTTATTGTTCTGTAATTGTTAACTTTTTATATTTTTTATTGTATATAGAAATAAAAAATATATATATTTTGTAATCTTTATAATTGTAAAATTTATTTTTTAATTTGATGTTTCCATTTTTTTGTTGGTATTCTTTTCTATTTGTTTGTAATTTTGTATTTTCCTTTGTGCTTTATATATAAATAAATGAAAAAATATATATTTCATTTATTTTAATTAATAAATAAATAAAATAATAATATAAAATTACGTCCACTGGGCGTGACGTACTGACACGTCTTAGTGAAAGAGTATGCGCCCGCTGTATGTTGTGTAATTAAAAAGGGAACTCCCCGGTTAACAGGTTAAGAATGGAATTATGCATAAAACAATTGTTATAGTATTATGTACCTAATAAAAAATTTTACTGTTTATATGGTATATTCTTAGCTGTAAATGCTCTTTATAGATTGAAGAATTTTAACTAAACCTAATTTAAAATAACTTCAAAAATTACTAAGAGGTTGTACTACTTAGTAAAACTTTGATCAAATACCCAAATTAATTATAGAATGTCAGATTTCCAAAACTTGAATATTACGAAGTTGCTCATTACCCTACTGAGTGTATCTTATTCTTAGACTAGAGGCCCTGTGCACAAAATTCATGCACAGCGGGAGGAGGGACAAAGGGGTTTCCCTTAGCCCAGTTTGCACCCTCTCCAATCTGGGATCCCTTGAGGGATGTCCGATTGCCCATTTAGGCCCAATCCCGGTGGGCAATCAGACATCCCTCTCACAATCCAGGACTGCTGGCTCCCAACTGCTTGCTTGCCTGACTTCCTAATTGCCCCTAACTGCTTTTGCCTGCCAGCCTGAACACCACCTAACCACTCCCCTACCAGCCTGATTGATGCCTAACTGCTCCCCTGCTAGCCTTTTGCCCGATTGTCCTCTCCTGCAGGCCTGATCATCCCTAACTGCCCTCCCCTGCAGGCTTGATTGCCCCCAACTGTCCTCCCTTGCAGGCCTGGTGCCTTCCAATTGCCCTCCCTTGTTGGCTATCTTGTGTCCACATGGGGGTAGGATCTTTGACCAAAGGGGGGCAGCTATCTTGTGTGTCACAGTTAGAGTGATGATCAAGTTGCATAATAACTCTTTTATTAGATAGGATAGAGGCCTGGTGCACAGGTAGTGGGGGCCAGCTGGTTTGCACTGAAGGGTGTCCTGTATCAAGGTGGGGGTTCTTTGGGGTGTGGTGTGGCCTCAGTGAGGGGCCTTTGATGGTTTGCAACTGATGTGGAGGCCCTGGTATATGGGATTTATCTTCTACAATTGAAACTTTGTAACCTGGAGCAAAGCCAAACCTCCTGCTGGCTCCATGGAGGCAGCAATTTCTGTTGGTATTTATTTATCTCCTATAATTGAAACTTTGTAGCTTTGAGTGGAGGCCTCGGCCAGCCAGGATGTGTGGAAAGCTTGGCTTCTTCCATTGTAGGGGATACCCAAGCCTCCCTGCTGCTCCCTCAGTGGCCACAGACATCTTGGTTGGGGTTAATTTGCATGCTTGCTCTTGATTTGATGGTGGGCGTGGCTATAGGTGGGTGTGAGTGTAGGGGAGTGATGGTTAATTTGCATATCACTCTTTTATTAGATAGGATTATGTCCATGTTAAGATAAAACAGATTTTTTAGTACATCCATATAGTGGCAACATACTTTATGAACATTAAAAATCAAAAGGAAACAGCTGATACCACTTTTACTTTTTCTAGAATGTAAAAGCAACAGGAAAGCTAAAATTCAGGGAAGCATCACTAGTAAAATAAAATATATTAACTACTACTTTCATCCCAAATTACTGATAAGTTTCCTCATGGATGCAAAGCGTATTTTATAATTGTCAGTTTTCATTTATTTTCTTCCTTATTTCATAAGTTTTATAACTTTCTTAGACTTGGACAACTCACTACTTAAATTAACCCAGTCATGCAGTGGGAATTTTTTTATGTTTTTATTAAAAGAACTTTACTAGGGATTTAAATCCAGACTCTGGTTTGTCAAGTCTTGTTCCTATTGAAATATTCTACAATGACATCTTGTGAAAGGCCTTCTCACTGTTAACTGAAAGTCATAACTTTTCTAAATATATTAGACCCATGATTCACAATAATTATAAGCTATATTAAAACTTTGACCAATACATGTGGTTGGGTAATGTTATTTTCCACTGTATGTTTGTTAGGATGTTCTTATTCTCACACTAAATGACCAGGATGAAATCAATGTTTTTGCCCTATAAAAAAAAACATCATAAAACAATTATAAAATAGGAAAGTAAATGTCATTATTGTAAATAATTATATTCTATAAGTAATAATAAAATAATTAAATATTATTTGTTATAATAAATAAATCATTGCAAATTTATAGTAAAATAAATGATTGTAAATTATTAAATTAGAATCTGTGGAATCTGCTATGTCCTAGGCCAGGTATATTTCTTGCAAGTTATCTGTATAGCAAAACATAATGATGCTCTATTCAGATTTATTTTCCATTTCTTTTAACTTATTCTTTCTACAGGAAGAATAGATCAAATCTTACTATAAAACATGTACTATCATTTTTCAGTTTAATTCTGAATGAGTGATAAATGTTAGTGGTCCCTGACAATAGTATGAGGAGCTGTGAGTTCTGATAAGTTGTTTATTTTCCATTAATCACTTTCAATAGGATTATAGGTTAAGCTGGATTCTTATTTAACTAAAATTATTTTCCATAATTATAATTTTTTCCTGAAGATTAGGAACCAAAATTTAGATTTGAATCACTGTGTACTAGTATAGCACTTTTAACTTCACTTACTTCCTTTTACAGATTAAGAAATTTGAGGAAGAGAAACTGAGAAGCTTGCCTATGTCAAACATATAGTGAATGACACATAATAAGAATCTTAAGTCTCCAAGTCATATTTGGGTGCCGTTTCTACCCAAGCTACTCTTCCCCATGGCATGTCCAAAGAGTTGCTTTATAGATTTCTCTAATGATAATTTTGAATGGAAATTTTCCTTAAAAAACAGAAAATCAAAATATTTTTTTTTAAAAAACTAGACACTTTTAAAAACAATTTTTACTGACAGTCCACATAGACAAAAATTTTGAAAAATGAGATGTTTTAAAAACTATAATTCTAGAATAAAAAGTAGTAAAAATAAATATGCACACTACAGTGATATGTTGCTGCTTAAAATTTTTTACATATAATTGAATCTTTTCCATTTTAATAAAAATTTCCCTTATAATTCTCAATGGCTGCATTGGATATGTCAATTTAAATTCATTCTTCTTATATCTGTCAGTAAGTCTTAACTTTCATTCTACTTATATCAGTAAGAAAAGCTTAACTTTTTAATAGCTTTAACCTAGTAATAAACCCACAGAGAAGTGGTGGGTTAAAAGTGATGCAAAATAAAGATTTTTGACATACACTGTCAATCTATATTCTATACAGGTTGTCCCAATTTCTACACTTACCTCTTCTGCTGCAAACTTTAAGACTGCTATGAAAGGTGTACTTTCAGGAACACTGAGTCTAAAAAAAAAATTTAAAATAATTTTTTTAAAAAGCTATTTTTTTAAGTTCTTTGTTGCTCATATCAGCAATTTTAGCAGACCTAAACAAATCTGTCTTTGGAGTATAAAGATTTTTATTGCACACTACATCATGAACTCTAAAAAACCAACAACAAACAATTAGGCTTACATTAGATTCTGCCCATAGATGTACTTGAATACCAAAACCTATATAGGAGAAGATTTATACATTTTTAATAGTTTGATACAAATAGATCTAGGATATGGGATACTACTTGTTTCCAGAGATGGATTTTAAAAAGTTGAATCTCTCCTTGGTATTCAGTCCACACATATTTTTACTTAAAGCAGAAATTCATTTCATTACAAGGGCTACCTGGGAAAGCATTATCAGAACATAAATATTTTCATAATCCTTTCTGTGCACTTTTTAAAAAAATATATTTTATTGATTTTGTACAGAGAGGAAGGGAGAGAGATAGAGAGTTAGAAACATAGATGAGAGAGTTATCGATCAGCTGCCTCTTGCACACCCCCTACTGGGGATATGCCCGCAACCAGGGTACATGTCCTTGACCGGGACCTTTCAGTCCCCAAGCCGATGCTCTATCCATTGAGCCAAACCGGTTTCGGCCTTTCTGTGCACTTTTAATAATCAAGTCTAAAAGAGTAGACCAAGTTGCTGAAAATGAACATGTTTACTATGGCAAAATGTAAAGTCATTTCCCACAAAACTCTTACACCTCCTCAGATCAAGGGCTTAATACAATCTGAAATAACATTTGGAGAGTAATGTATGATTTTGTTACTGACTTGTACAACATCAAGTGTATTACAGATTGCTGATGAGTGACCTGTGAATTTTCCAATTTAAATACCGTATTTTTCGGACCATAAGACGCACTTTTTCCCCCCCAGAAGTGGGGGGAAAAAGTCCCTGCGTCTTATGGTCCAAATATAGCCTACACATATACTTTAAAAAAAAAGTTTTTTTACTTGCCCAGCTCTGTGTGGTCTCTGTGTGCTTGCCCGGCTCTAAAATGGTTCTAAATGCTGCTGTTTACTTTACAGGGTTGATTACATGTGTTTATGACTGTGATGTTGGGTTTTAATGCACATAAAATATTTTAGGACACTATTTGTTTCAGAATCTTTTTTTCTTCATTTCCCTTCTCTAAAAACTGGTGCGTCTTATGGTCCGAAAAATACGGTACTTAAAAAAAATGATATTATACCCTTATAAACACAGAAGGTAACAAAAGAAATATAATATTCTTAAGGTTAAATGAGTTATAATCATTAAAGACAAAAAAACATATTCTTTTTCACAGCAGGAAAAGAGACTTATAACCTAACATTTACCTTTGAAACTTGTCTATCTGTAACCACTATATTATTCTTTAACGTTTTAATACCAACTTCCATTATGTAACATTTTCACTTATAAATACCATTTCTTAGTGTACAAATTGAATAGAAATATCATTATAGCTGACACAGTGCATTATAATGACTTCAGTATGTGTGAATAGTTTGGCTGCCCCAACTCCTCTAAAATCTAACTAAAAAGTGAAAATAGTTATCACTGTTTTTACCTTTCTTTAGTTTTCTGGGGGGCAGGGGAGGCGGAAAGAAAAAAATTCTAAAGGGTAGGCACTGTTTAAAAATTATCTAGTAAGTTGGCAATATGATAGTTTACAAAGTAAGGAACAGACCTTGCAAGTATTTTTGCATTACATTCATAGTTTAGGTCCTGAGATTCATCCTCAAAAGGACAAGTTCTAAAATCTTAGGGTTTCGATTCCCTTTTTAAATGGAGACTGGAAACGTCTTTGTAAGTAGATTTTATATTGATATTCACTAATATAAACTTCCACTTATGTAGTTGGGACTTATGCAAAGACAATGCAATAAAACAGAAAATACTTTTTAATGTATGTTTTATGTGACAGAAAATTACAGAGGAACTCAGAGTTACTGTGACACCATCTAGATTTGAATTTGTCTTTGCCAGTAGCATCAATTTTGTAAAACAGCAGTTACACATTATACTGGTGTTTTGAAAAAAGGGAAAGAAGGGGCACACTATTATGTATATTAAAGTGAATTTTAAAAAATAAATCAAACGTAAATCTGTTTTTAAAAAATGTATATTTCATATAAAGAGAACTATGACACAAATGCTGTCATAAAGAATAAGAATAAAGTTTCTATAGGAAATGAAAGAAGGGGGAGATGAATTCACTAGACAATTATAGAAATCTGGAGAGGTAAATTTTATTTTTAAAGGGTATTGTTTGTCAGGAACTGGACTGCATTCCTGTCAAAGAAAAGAACATGTGTAAAAAGCAAGGAGAGTTAAAAAGACTTGCTTTTCAATTTAGGAATAGGGTGACTGATGCTTTGTTAAATGATGATGGTAGTAAGAAAGGAGAAGAGTTGGGAAGTACCGTATTTTTCGGACCATAAGACGCACCAGTTTTTAGAGAAGGGAAATGAAGAAAAAAAGATTCTGAAACAAATAGTGTCCTAAAATATTTTATGTGCATTAAAACCCAACATCACAGTCATAAACACATGTAATCAACCCTGTAAAGTAAACAGCAGCATTTAGAACCATTTTAGAGCCGGGCAAGCACACAGAGACCACACAGAGCTGGGCAAGTAAAAAAACTTTTTTTTTTAAGTATATGTGTAGGCTATATTTGGACCATAAGACGCAGGGACTTTTCCCCCCCACTTCTGGGGGGAAAAAAGTGTGTCTTATGGTCCGAAAAATACGGTAAGTCTGGAAAGACTGGAATCAGACTAAATGAGGCAAATGTTTTTTAATTCATTCTTCATTTAAAAGAGAATGCTTGATTTCAATATTTCTATAACCTAGTAATGACACCAACAGTGACTGTATCAACAAACAAAAACACTGTAAACTCTGATAATGCTCAGAATAAATTTAGAATTGAAACATCTTTCACAGAATTCAACTATTAGTAATGTTAGAAACTCAAAAGAAAGTTTTTCTATCAAAGTATGTTTATAAGTTAAAGAATGTTTTCCCATTAATCTAAAGAAGTTGCTTTTACTAATGTTTAGTTACAATTTACTTTGAAAACAGGATAACTACCTTTACATACACAGGTACATATATTATGCATACTTTACTCATAAATACAACTACACACACTAAATAATAGATATGCTTATTAAATTCATCCAGTCACCCATAATAATTGAACTGGTACAATGTTCCAGCCACTCTTATACTGATGCTGTCCTGCCCTGTCCTCTTTCTCTCTCCATCTTCTCAGAATTTCTTTTTTAAAGCCTATTTATATATTTATGAGAATAATTCAATATAAAGGGAGAAATCAAAGATGACAAGAGGGTGATCTTTAGACTCTCTGCTTTAATCTTGAGAAGATTGAAACAAGTAAGATGCAGAGCCCAAGTGGTACAACTGGCTTTTCATAAGTCATGCTGATGGTTTCTAATCCAACATGATTATAGACAGAAATCACAGGTTTACACATAGTGATAGCTTTATAGATGTAATGGATAAAGGAGAGAAATTTCCTCTGATGGCTTGAAAGAAACGAGGAAAGGAATTGTAGGAAGCGTGAAAATACATTTAAAAAATCCTTTCTGAGAATAAAGAAGAAAATATGCAAACTTGGAAAATGTAGCAGAGTGTTGGCTACTATTGAGCATAGTTATTAATTTTATGTCAAACTCATCAATCTAATTGTGTAATTTTTTCCAGGAACATTCAGGTATATACAGAAAAGTTCAGAATTGGTGTTTCACCAAGTGCTTGGAGTGAAATATACTGGAATTTTGGGGTTGGGGGAGAATCAGAGTTGAGGGTATTTGCAAGACAGTGATTCTAAGTTGGATAAGAAGTTGGGGAAGGTAGGGAGAAGAGGAAAATGTTAAAATGAAGTCTCATCAATGAATGAAAAGAAACATTTTAAAGAAGAAATATTAGAGTAAATCAGATGTAAGAATACAATGTGGTTAACCGTATGAGTGTTTAAAAATGGCATTTTATAGGTGGAGTAATTACTTAAGATTAGGCAAAGAGATTCATTTGGAGATAAAACAATTGAGAAAGAGAAAGGCTAGGAGATTACATGGGTCCCAGAGGGCTAAATAAGACTGATAACAACTGTTACAGTTCAATTAGGTAGGATACGACAATAATTACTTATTAACTAATAAACATTAATTATATATAAAATCCTATTTAAGACCTGTTCTTTGTTATATTTTATATGGCTTCCAGCTGCAATGACCGTAATAATGCTTACCTACAATCACACAAAGGTCTGAAGAATCCGGGTTAGAAGGTCCAGATTAGACACATGCTAACTGCTAAAGGCTAAGCAAAGGATCCGCATGAATAAATTGCCCTATTTCTGTATTTCCCATTTCTACTAATCACTCTTTTCTAAACCCCAACAACATTAGGATATGATTTAAGGCTCAGTACTTCGTGATGCCCAAGTCGTGTGTTCCTTATACACAAGAATCAGAAGCCTGTAAGGAATAAACGTTTAAGTAGTTTCGGAATCTGGATTGAGATGTCTTCTTTTACTTCCTCTAACAGCTGGTCAAAGTCGTGAAAGGCCTTTCTAATCTCCAGCAGACTGGGCCTGCTGAAGGATTCCAGTCATCACCAGAGCCCTGTGCAGTCCACAAAGTCCTCCCCAGCCACCACCACCAAGTGAGTTCGGAGCAGCAAGGTTCCGGTCACACAGCCCTGCACCCTGGGGCAAGTTGACACTTAAGAGGAGCGGTCCAGGATGCCTCCTCTCATTTACAAGTGGGAAGCCAGAGGCTCCCGAGAGGGCGCGGGTAGAGGTGCAGGGAAGGAAAGGAAAGGATGTGGGCTGCTGGGGTGGGATGCCGGGCTCCATCCAGCCCGGATCTACTCAGCCACCGCAGGGAGCTACTCACACTTTGTAGGGCAGCCGCGGGTCCGACGTCAGCGTGATCTTAAAGGAAACCTTGGACCTGAGAAAGAGCGGAAAGAGTTAAGGGCGGGCAGTGGCATCAGGATCGGGGAGGTTGAAGGTAAACACTTACATGGTGAAGCAGGCCTGGACTAAGACGCCAACTTCCTGCAGTAGTCCTACTTCCGCCGGGTTCCGGAAGGGCTCTTCCACACTTAGGTCCCAGGCGCTGGCAACTGGGGCCTCCAAAGTTGCTGTTGTCCAAGGCACTGCCTGAAAAATTGGCATCTGATGCTCATCTAGGCGGAGACTCCTAATTACAAATACTTACTGATTTAGCATTTACATATCGTAAAAGAACGTGTGGATTATATGAAATTAATATTTTTACAAATGCTTTTATTTGCTGCCGTATTTCTGTCAGGCATCACAAACGGAAGTAGGAATTTTGGCCTCAGCGGGTCTTTTCGGAGGGAGAGGTGTCGGGCGGGGCGGGGCCCTCCGAAGTTGTCCAGATGTCCTGGGGGCTGAAAAGTTCAAAATCCTCACCTGACTTTAGTTTTAGCGGTGATACCCGAGTGGGTGTGCTGTAAGAATTTTAAAACATGTAATAAATACCTGGCTACTTAGGGGCACTGACCTCTTTCCCCTTAGATTGTCAAAGCCAACACAGCAGTAGCCTTCTACAAATTATACTTTTTTTTTTAATCAAATTGGCAAAAAATATATATTCTTTGGTGTGCCACAGAATTTTAGTAATTTATGTGGGCCATGAGATGAAAATAGTTGAAAATCACTGGTATTAGTGTTCTTTTGCCTTTTCAGCAACCTGATCCTGTTAAATCATTTAGAGTTTTCATATTGTTTTCCTTCACTCTTTACTCTGCAATACTAATGTCAATTTAATTTGCACATGTAAGAGAGTAAGTAGGTGAGAAAGACAAGATCCTGCACTCAGCAACTTGAAATCTAGCTGGGAAGATTTAAACCAGGGCACTAGGTTGCGGATTTTGGCACATTTACTCAGTTTAACAACACATTTTTAATTATTTCCATGTTCCAAGCACTGAGGCAAAAGCAAGAGATGTCAGGATTAATAGGAAAGCTAGCTGCCAAACCTCTAGGATCTGTTATAAGTTTTTGTATAGTGTGGGAAGAAAACGTATTTCCTCTAAATATTACAAATCTCAGCATCTGTGTTTAAAAAATAAACATGCTTATCACAATGTCTGCAGTGCTCTTTTTAAGAAATATTGGATACAGATAGGAATTAAAATAATGAGGGAATCTAGTTAATCTTTAGAATATTTTGTGAGATTTTTTCTTTACGTTACATACATCCCCATGACTTAATTATTTTATAACTGAAAGTTTGTACCCTTTGAATTTCTTCAACCATTCCCTCAGATATTAAGCTGATATTAATATCTACAAACTTGTTTTATTTTTTAGATTTCACATGTAACTGGATCATACACTATTTGTCTTTCTCTCTGACTTATTTTACCCAGTATAAATCCCTCATGGTTCTTCCATGTTGTTGCAAATGGATTATATTTCTTTATGACTGAATAGCATTACATTGTGTGTGTGTGTGTGTGTGTGTGTGTGTGTAGATAAAATTTTCTGCCAGGGCTAACTGGCAGACCCAGAACACAGGTGAATGATTACTCTGACACATGAGAGGGCTAAAGGACTGCTTGGCTTGAAAACCCAAACAGCCTCGTTCAACTGGCTCTTAGGCTTTTATTGTAATAACAGTTTGAACTAAAATTACAATAACTTCTAGATACTACCAGCAGGGTAAATATCCTTGAGAAGACATGCATCTGCAGTGTCCTTTACGCAAGGACGCCTAAAGACAAAACATTCTAGTAAAACACCTGGGGGCTCAGACTTGTTTGGAAAAGTCAAGGCAGGGCTTGCTATCTTCAGCAAGGTCCTCCTGACATTTCAGAGATTTCCAATCAAGTCCTATTCTTCCCCACAATTTTCTTTAATGGATATCATGTTATGCATATTTAAGGGTTATGGGAATTTCATCTTTGCCATAATTTTGCAGTATTTTGCCATAATTCTGCCATAAATTTGCAGTAATTTTGCACTCTTCTATTATCACATCTCCCAATAAAAAGAAAGAAGATTCTGACTGTAGAAAAGTAAAACTCCAACATTCTCATGACAGTCCTTGTCTTATTTTTAAAAAATATAAATGTTGCCATATATAGAAAGAGATAGAAGCATATGTTGATTGATAGATTTTGGGATCAGCATTTATAATATTAATAGCTGAGACAATGGGATTAGTTGGTGTGACTAAAATATTTTAGAATATCTATAAGAAGAAATGTGTTTACCTGGTGTCAAATGACAATGAAGAGATTAGAGTACATATTTATAGTTTCTATTTCTAAGGACACATATCCTCTCACTCCACCACTCACCAAAAGAGTTTCAAGGGCACAGAATAGCGGCAACATCCAGGTCACACATACATGCACCCTGCAACCAGGACAAGCTGACACTTGCTTATATCTTTAAACAACATTTGGATCTTTTATAGTTTTGTGATTCTATTTATACTAAATGCTTAACATAATATCTAGCATTAGCACAAGATAAATTTTGATCCATTAATATTCTCATTGCTGACCTAAATAGAATATTCTCAAAAGAAGACAGAAGGAAGGTCAAAAGGCACATGAAAACATGCTCAAAGTCACTAATTATCCTAGAAATGCAAATAAAAATGACAATGCAGTAACATCCATCACCTGTCAGAATGGCTATCATCAACAAATCAGCAAAAGACAAGTGCTGGTGAGGATGTGGAGAAAAAGGAATCTTCATGCACTGCTGGTGGGGATGCAGACTGGTGTAACCACTGTGGAGAACAGTATGGAGTTTCCTCAAAAAACTGAAAATGGAACTCCCATTTGACCCAGTAATCCCACTCCTAGGAATATATCCTAAGAAACTAGAAACACCAATCAAAAAAGATATATGCACCCCTATGTTCATAGCAGCACAATCTACAATAGCTAGGATTTGGAAACAGCCTAGGTGCTTATCAGCAGATGATTGGATCCAAACACCATGGTACATCTATACAATGGAATACTATGCTGCCGTAAAAAAGAAGAAATTCTCATCATTGCAGCAACCTGGATGGAATTGGAGAACATTATGCTGAGTGAAGTAAGCCAGTCAATGAAAGAAATACACTACATGATCTCACTCATTTATGGATAATAAGGAACATTATAAACTGATGAACAAAAAGATAGATACAGAGACAGTAAAGAAACAAACAGAATGTCAAATTACAGTGGGGAGGGTAGGGAAATATGGGGGAGATAAGAGATCAACCGAAGGACTTGTATGCATGCATATAAGCATAACCAATGGAGGAAAAACTATGGGGAGGGAGGGCATGTTTGGGAATGGGGTGGGTGGGGATTGGTAAGGTATGTATACATATAATATCTTAATAAAAAATATTCTCATTGCTCAATGGTATCAGCACCCCTTACAGGATTATAGGCTGAGAAAAGGTAATAGAGGGGAAAATGATCAAATTGAACACAATAAAAATATTACTTTATTATTAATTGTTCAGGCTACATTTTGTTTCCAATATGAAGTGTTTGGAGTTTAAGATCCTAAGATTTATATCTTGGTGTAAACCTCCCAGAATTACATAATTGAACTATAAATACAATCAACTTATGGTGAAAAAGTTTGGAAGGAAATTCATTTTTGCACCCAAATCTGACATGTTTTCACTTTACTTAAAGCTGATTACAGAAGACATATGATTTTACTTACATGTAAAATCTAAAAAATAAAATAAACACATAAAATAGAAACAGACTGAGAAACAGATAACAGACTGACAGTTAACAGAGGGGAAAAGGTTAGCGGACTGATTTAAAAAAGGTAAAAGGATTGAGCCCTACAAGTTGGTAGTTACAGAATGGTCATAAAGATGTAGATCATTTTATACATGGGGAATATAGTCAATATTGTGAGAATCGTGTATGGAACCAGATAGGGGCTTGAAAATTGGTGGCGGACCACTCTGGAAAGTATAGGATTTCTAATCACTGTGCTGAGCATCTGAAACTAATGTAGAATAATATTGAATGTAAACTGTCTTTGAAAAATAAATAAAAGACATAACTGGTAAAAATTTTTATAACCATGTAAGCAAATCATTTTTCTCCTTATGTAAATTTAATTTTCCTCAATTATCTCTAATAATGAGAAACATATTTTTCTTGCAAACAGAATATTGCTATGCTTCATTGACATTTAATGAATTTTAATGTGGTCACACTGTATACTTCTACTACCATTTCTATCTCTGCATGATACTAATTGGATCCCTTCCAAGACAGATTAGGCTGTTTATGCTGTCTGTTGTCCTAAAATATTACATTTGCCAATTACCTGGTAAAATCCAGAGTTTGCTTTTGTTTACAGGTATTAAATATACTTCATTTCAGTACTTGAACTTTTCAGTAAATAATATTGTCCTTCTTGTGTTACATTTGTCAAATTTTGCTAAATTTGTGCACTGGTTGGGGGGAGGAGGGGCTTTCAGCCCAGCCTGTGCCCTCTCACAGGGGATGCCCCTCAGGGGATGTCCAACTAATGGCTTGGGCATGCTCCCCACAGTCAGATCCTTAGCACTGCCTTGAGGGCAGAGAGGCTCATGCCACCACTACTCTAAGCCCAGCTTCTGGCTGAGCGGTGCTCCCCCTATGGAAGCACACTGATCATCAGGGGTCAGCTCCTGTGTTGTATGTCTGCCCCTTGGTGGACAGTGTGTGTCATAGCGATCAGTCATTCTGCCGTCGGGATGAAACTAGTTCTCTGACATTTCCCAAGGGATCCCAGATCTCAAGAGAATGCAGGCCAGGTTGAGGGACCCTACCATTGTATGATCAGGTCCAGGGAGGATGTGAGAAGTTGACCATCTGGGGAGGGACCACAGCAGGGCTCCAGGGCTTGTCAGACCCATTTTGCTCAGTCTCTATCAGTAGGAGCCCAGCAGCAAGCTAACCTACTGGTCAGAGCGTCTGCCCCTTGGTGGTCAGTGCACATCACAGCGAGCAGTTGAGCAGCCTTAGCATATCATTAGCATGTTACGCATTGATTGGTTGAATGGCCAATTAAGGAGAGTTAGGAGATCAAAGCAGGAAATAATTCTAAAACTTTAGTAATATGTAATTTTCAATATATCTTGGGAACAAAATGTTTTCCTGTTTCATTTTGATATAATGCATTATTATTAATAT